TAATCACAAAATGTGACTTTATTATCTTTATTTAATAAATATTTTTCATTAATTAAAGTCATACCTGATTTTTGAATTTTCAAACTATTTTACTTTACTTTTGAATTGAGGTAAAGAATACACCTTAAATATGAATTTTTCCCATTTTTCACTCGTCATTTTCGTTTGCATTCCTTAAGCCCATTGGGCCAAGACCGTAGGTCCGGCAATTAAACACGTGAGGCCTTTTGTCATTACCTCTCACCTAAGACGTACACGTTGCATCATATGTCACCATTTGGATTTTGAAAAGTACCTAAAGACTAATTGACGTGGCTAACCCCCAAATTCTCCCAAAGCTGAAAACCACTCTTTCATCATTCAAATTTTATTTGACTAACCGCCCTTGGTTTCAAATTCATTTATTCTCAAATTTCTTTTCAATCACATTTTAAAAACTCACAAATTTATCAACATTTCTTTTTGAAAAAACTGAATTTTAGCAAAATCAAACAATGACATACAAAATTTGCAATAGTTTATTTTAAAAATAGATTATAAATTTGTGATTTAAGTTGAATTATTTAAAATAAGTCACTTCAATAATGTAATAAATCTCATATCAACAGCCCCGATCTCCTGTCCAAAATGGATAAGATAAAAAATTTTCACTGCTCAAGTAACAAATGAACCTTAATTATTGTTTTCTAAAATGATGAAATCCATAATTAATGTTCTCTAACCAAGTTAACAGTGAATTTTTTTTAATTTTATCCATTGGGAGCGAGAGCTCAATCCCACTCAAATCAATAGTTCACATTGTTCGAGCCTCATTTTGAGAGAGAAATGTACTTTGAATAGTGATTTTTTGAAAATTTGTGATTAAAAATTAAAGAATTTTATTCGATTTATATGAAATATTATTTTATTAAAAAACGTGTGATTTAAAATGAATTAAAAAAAAAAAAAACATGGGGCTCAAACAACCCATAATAATTGTTCTAAAATGTGAGCTTAAAAGGAATTTTGGTTGGGTACTTCAGCCACGCTTTATAGTTTTTACGTTTAAATCCATTTAGGCCCGTTAAATTTGAAATTTAGTCTTACTATTTAATTAAATTTTACGATTTTTAGAACGAGGATGGAATGTAAAGGTAGATCCAAAATAATTTCGGTTTGATGGTGATTATTGTGTAAAAATGATGTTTTAAATAGTAATTTTTTGAAAGATGTGCGATTAAAAAGTTAAAATAAAATAAAATTAAACCTATGTCTAAAATATGTCATTATTTAAATATATGATTAAAATGAGTATGAAAAATAAATTATTTTATTTTAAAAGGAATAGTCAAAATATTGTTGCAGTTGACAGTTTTGTGTAAATCCTGTGGACTCTTTCACCGACCATACCCCACTCCCACTCAACTCAACCCATCTGCTAAAATCCTGTGGGCATTTGACAGTTTTTTACTGTCATCAAATGGAGACCCAAAACAAGAAACCAGCTGCTGCTGTATCAGTATACATTAACCGTATAAACAAGTAAACAACCACAAATTCTCTCTTCCCTCTTATCACATTTCACTCCCTTTATTGCATTTAGGCCTAACAAAATTACTTTTTTTTTTTTTTTTTAATTCTCCTGGTGCTGTATCGATAGAAGATCGGACGTAGAGCTCTAATGTATAATGCTGTAAAAACCGATCAAATTCTACAGTTTCTTCTCGTTCAAAAATCTTTCTCAGGTTCTGTTGATTCTACTACTCCGTCTCATTTTCTCTCATATTTATTTGTTTCTCGTTAAAGTTCTTCTTTTCAACAATTATTTGAGGAACCGAGTATTATTTTTCTTAACGTATTCGGGGTTTTCCGGTCGTAATTCTGTTAGTTTGGCATGATTTTTTATGTGAAAAAATCGGAGGCACGACGATTTCCTTGATTAGGGTCGTAAAGTTTTTTTTTGGCTGGAGAAGTATTTTGTTAAGTTGTATGGAATCGAATGCTATGCCTGGTGGAATTTATTCTGACGCGAGTCCTGGAATTTTAGGGCTAGAAATGTCACTGAACCACAACATACCACCACAAAACACTAATCAGATGCGGCCGCATAAACCCATGGCGGCTTACGGCCATCGGGAGGGTGAATACCGCCCACAAACTCAGCAATCTGTGAAACAAGGACACCCATATGTTGGAAAGGCCAAGAATCAAACTTTGACTTTCAGTGATGATGATGATGATCATGGACCAGAGAATACTTCTGATGATGGGAATATGAGAATGTCTCCTTGGCAAAGAGTGAAATGGAATGATAATATGGTGAGGCTGTTGATAATGATTGTGTTCTATATTGGGGATGAAGTTGGGTCGGAGGCTAATGATCCGGCTAATAAGAAGAAGGGTGGAGGGGTCTTGCAGAAGAAGGGGAAATGGAGATCGGTGTCGCGGGCAATGATGGAAAAAGGGTTTTATGTGTCTCCACAGCAATGTGAAGACAAGTTTAATGACTTGAATAAGAGGTACAAGAGGGTTAATGATATTCTTGGGAAGGGAACTGCATGCCGGGTGGTGGAGAATCAGAGTTTGCTCGATGCTATGGATCATATATCGCCCAAAATGAAGGAAGAAGTCAAGAAATTGTTGAATTCTAAGCACTTGTTTTTCAGGGAAATGTGTGCTTATCATAATAGTTGTGGTAATAGTGGTGGTGCTAGTGGAAGTGGAGCCGTGGGTAATCAACATTCACCTGCAGAGGTGGTGGCAGAACCATCCCATACTCAGTTTCAGTCACAGCAGCAGAGGTGTTTACATTCATCTGTGAATGCATCAGTTATACCTAACTTGAATAAAGGAGAAAATGAGGGATCTAAATTGGCAAAAGGAGCAAGTGGCGAAGAAGAAGATGATGATGATGAGGATGACAATAAAGATGATGGTGACAGCTTTGAAGAAAACAATGAGGTGGTTGACCGAGGATCAAGAGGTCATGACCATGTCCATGAGGATGACAATGACACGGATGGAAGATCTTCGAGGAAGAGGCAGAGGAAGAATGTATTCGATTCGCCTTTGATGCAGCAATTGAATATGGAATTGATGAATATATTGCAAGATGGAACTAAGAACCCCTTTGAAAAAAGACAGTGGGTAAAAGCGAGATTGATGCAGTTGGAAGATCAGCGTGTTGGCATCGAGTGTCAAGGTTTTGAGCTTGAAAAGCAGCGATTAAAATGGTTGAAATTTAGTACCAAGAAGGAGCGAGAAATGGCGAGAGAGAAGCTTGACAATGAGCAATTAAGGCTTCAGAATGAGAGAATGGTTCTTCTAATTCGCCAGAAGGAGCTCGAGTTGCTTGGACATCATCACTACCAGCAGCTGGCATCAAACAAGATGGGAGATCCCTCCTCCATTACTAGATAAATCAATTGTATATCATGGTAGAAGAAATCAATATATAAAAACAGGCTGTTTGCCCTTGTTCTTTCCAATTTTGTTACTGAATCAGGTCTTTTGCAGTTTAAGACTTGAACATAAGCTATTCGAGTCTTTTGTTTTTGCTTGTCGTTTCCCCGAGTTCAATATAAAGTTGTGTTGATGCATATGACACCAAGACATATATTGGAAAGGGGGAAGTAGTCATTGCTGTAAGAACAACATAATTTTTTTCTGGTTAAGTGATCCTGAGGATCTATGCTTCCATGACTTTGAATTATCATATTGAAAGATAGAACTTGAAGTTAATCTGTGCCGCACGTTTTGTCAGTCCAGTTACCCCACAGCAGTTAGGACATATTCAAACCGATGATTACCGTAAATTCAGGTGCACGATACACATCAATACTCCAAATAAATATATTTTCGAACCTTATCTTTAAAATTCAAAGTGGAAAAGGCCGGCAGACTGGAAGTTTTTCTAGTGGTTCAATCCAAATGCATGCAAGAAGTTATTCATTTCTGTTAAGAGGAGTGTTGTATGCTCCCCAGAATCACCTCTTGCATTCCGATGCCATCTTTCAATACAGCAATGGAGAAGAGAGGTAGATATGGAAGTGAGTTTGACAATTGCCTTTTGACAATTAACGCAGTGAGTGCACTTCATGAATAGCCTCAACCTGGCCTTTATTACCGACTGGTAAGGATAAGCCAACAGAAAGGCTTCTTCATATCCTTTATAAAAATATATATAAGATTCAGTATCTAACATGTACTCTCCAAAGTTATTTGAATTTCAATTTGGGGATCACTATAGTTTCCCAGAGCATGAATTGCCTTGCTCCTTGTTAGAATCTGTTAGCATAACAGATTTTAGCTGATGGCGTAAATTCAGGAAGCTGCCTAGGGAATCATTCTAGAACTTTCTTGTATGTAATGTAAGTATTGATCTTGCTGTATATATTCTCTTTAATGGAACGATCAATGTAAACATTTTTATAGTTCAAAATCATCTCAAATTCTATCTTGATATCAGAGCCAAATGGCTAACAATAGCACAGGAAATCAGTCCGGGCCAACAGATCATGGAATGTCTCCAATCGCTCAAGTAGTTGTGAATCAATATTCACCAGTTGGAATGACACTCAATCAAACTCCATCAATCAAGCTTGACAGAAACAACTATTTGTCGTGGAAAAATATGATTATGCCAATCATAAAAGGGCATAATCTCAAGGGTTTTTTGCTAGGAACATGGGAATGCCCACCAAAATTCCTGGTAACACAGACCAGTGTTGGACAAAGAGAGGCAGTTGAAATGAATCAGAACCCTGATTACAATAGATGGATTTCAGTCGACCAATTGTTGATGGAGTCGCTATATTCAGCCATGACTCCTGAAATAACAATGAAAGTCATGGGTTGCTCAAATTCTAGTAAACTCTGGACTGGAATTGAACAGAGTTTTGGAGTGCTAAACAAATCCAAAATAGTTTTTCTCGCTTGGGAACTGCAAAGAGCTAGGAAGGAAGCTATGTCTATGGATCAATACCTGACAATGGTCAAGCAACTAGCTGATAATCTGGAGGTAGCAGGGAGGTCTATAGATCACAATGACCTTGTAACTAGGTGCTGTCCGGCTTAGATGAAGAGTATACACCTATAGTGGTACAAATCAATAGTAGAGATAATGTTTCTTGGCATGAACTGCCATCAGTATTGATGATGTTTGAAAGTCAGCTTGAGTACTTAAATCAAGTCAAAAATAATTTCAACTCTATGAGTATAAATCAGTCTAGTGTGCAGCAAGCTCAAATAGTTGGTCCAGGCAGTGGTAGATTCTACAGAGGGTTCAGCAGTAGCAGGGGAACCAACCTTAGAGGTAGAACCAGAGGAAGAGGAAGACCTGGAAGGCAAGGAGATAGCAGGGGACCTTACCAAATTTGTGGACTGAATAATCACACGGCTAGCTGGTGCTTCAACAGATACAATGAGAGGTATATGGGAAGCAGGCCAAGCAATCAAAATCATCAGAACAGCAACACAGTATCATCTGTCTACATTTCTTCATCATCAGTCCTTGAGGATCCAACATGGTTTGTTGATTCAGGTGCAAGAAACCATGTTACATCAGATAAGAGCAACCTACAAAATGCAAAAAGATATGAAGGTAATGAAAAATTGATTGTTGGTAATGGTAACTCATTGTATATTACCTATACTGGAATTGGAGAAATTTCCACAGCTGATTTTAAACCTCTTGCATTGCATAAATTACTTCATGTGCCCTCTATTAAGAAGAATCTTATCAGCGTTTCTCAGCTCACTAAGGACAATAATGTTTTTATGGAATTCTTCTCTAACTCTCGTGTTGTTAAGGATCTGGAAACGAGCAAGATTTTGCTGAAAGGAATGCTTAAGGATGGGTTGTATCAGCTGGTGCCACCAAGTCCAAAGCCAACAACAAATGTCATAGAGTCAACCTTTCCAAATAATACCAACTGCCTCACAGTGAGCCACAGTTGTGAAGAGTCGACCTGTAGTGTCAAAACATCAGAGTCTGACCTTGATAATTGGCATAGTAAGTTAGGTCATCCTTCCAGTCATGTGCTAAATCAGGTCCTCAAGTTTTGTAATAAGTTTGTCAACACTAATGAAAAGCCAATTTTCTGTGAAGCCTACAAACTTGGAAAGGCTCATGCCCTACCATTTAGTTTATCCACATCTCATGCTTCAATGTCATTAGAATTGGTTCACATTGATGTCTAGGGACCAGCCCTACTTAATTCTACCACTGGGTTTAAATATTACATACTTTTTGTTGATGACTATAGTAGGTACACTTGGATTTATCCCATGAAACTCAAATTAGAAGCATTAAACAACTTTATCCAATACAAAACACTTGCTGAAAATAAGCTAGAAAAGAAAATAAAAACTCTTCAGACAGACGGGGGGAGGGGAGGGGAGGGGGGGTGAATTCAGAAACTTCAGTAAACTAGCATCAGAATTTGGCATTGAACTTAGACATTTATGCCCCTATACATTTGTTCAAAATGGAAGAGCTGAGAGGAAGCATAGGCATGTTACTGAAACCGGTTTAACACTCTTAGCTCAAGCCAAAATGCCACTTTATTATTGGTGGTAATCATTCAAAACTGCAGCCTACCTAATAAACAGAATTCCCACTCCTTTGCTCCAAAACAGAACACCTTTCTAGATACTTTTTGGACAAGTCTTTGACCACACAATGCTGAAAACTTTGGGTTGTGCATGCTACCCTTGCCTCAGACCCTACCAGAAACATAAATTTGATTTTCACTCCCAAAAATGTGTATTTATTGGCTATGGTGACTCACATAAAGGGTATAAATGTTTAAGTCCATGTAGAAGAGTTTATATATCTAGACATGTCCTATTTAATGAGCTTGATTTTCCTTTCAAGGCCGATTTCATAAATAAAAGGTCTAACCCACAAAATACTCAAAATATTGAACCTGCCATAGGTCTCCTTCCTGTTGTTATAGAGTCCACCAATGAACTCATTCCCCAATCTATCACTGATACAACACATCCTGGTGCATCACCTACTACAGATTTTCATGACTAGGACTTAGAAGTTGAAAATGGGAGTTCTTAAGGTACTGTAAATGTTGAGATAAGTCAGGAAGAACATGGTTTAACTGAGTTGTAGGCTGAGAGACACACTTCTGAGGGAGAAGGAGTTGTAACGAATGCTCAGACCACAGATGAAGTTCAGATCACAGGGCATAGAATGATCACTCGGAGTAAGGCTGGAATTTATAAACCAAAGGTGTATGCAAATCAAATAATAACAGGATTATCACAAAACTGAGCCACTCACAGTTGAAGAAACCCTGTCAAATAGCATGTGGAAGGAAGCTATGAAGGAGGAGTATAATGCCTTAATAAAAAACAGAACATCAACACTGGTGCCTAAGAAAGCTGGTATGAAAATTATTGGTGACAAGTGGGTATTCAGATTAAAGTGTGATTCAGAGGGAAAGGTGAAAAGACACAAAGCAAGGCTCGTTGCAAAAGGATTCCTTTAGACTCCTGGCATAGATTTTGGTGAGACTTTTAGCTCTGTAATTAAGGCTTCCACACTCAAAGTTATTCTAACTCTTGCACTGTCCAAGGATTGGGAAATTAGGCAAGTAGATGTGAATAATGCTTTTCTGAGTGGTGAACTGAATGAGACAGTATTTATGAACCAGCCATAAGGTTTTATTAATGAAAGGAGTCCAGACCATGTATACAAGTTGGAGAAGGCATTGTATGGGTTGAAACAAGCTCCAAGAGCTTGGCATGAGAAGCTCAAAAGCACCTTGTTGGAATGGAAATTTAAGCAATCGAAAGCTGACAACTCACTATTCTTCTCAGCAAATGAAAGTGGTATCTTATTTGCCTTAGTATATGTAGATGACATTGTGATTACAGTAAACGACTCTCAAATCGTGCAAGAATTCATTGACAGATTGAACAGCACTTTTTCCTTCAAGGATATGGGAAGTCTCAGTCATTTTCTTGGAATTGAAGTGTACAGAGATGCGACTGGCTTGTATTTGACACAGACAAAGTATACTTCTGATTTGCTAAGAAGATTTGGATATGAAAGCTTGAAACCGAGTTTAACACCCATGGCTGCAGGCAAATCGATTTCAAAAACCCAAGGTCAACCTATGAGGGATCGAATTATGTATAGAAGTGTTGTATATGGCCTTCAATACCTTTACCCCACTAGACCAAATATCACCTTCTCCATTAAAAAATTAAGCCAGTTCCTTCAAAATCCAACTGATACTTACTGGAAAGCATTAAAAAGGGTGTTCAGGTACGTGAAAGGCACGCCGAACCATGGGCTTGTCATCCAAAAGAGTGATGATCTCAACATAACTGGTTTTGCCGACTCTGACTGGGCTTCATGTCCAGATGACAGGCGTTCTACTGCAGGCTACTATGTATTT